TTCATGTTTTTTGCGATATAACTAGGAGCAATGGCTATGATTGGTGATGTTTTATCACAATGATATCATTTTATTCGATGTATTTTGAGATACATTCCTACATTTCACTTTTCATTTTTTATTGCTATGGTAGAAAAATATCATTTTAGTTTTTCTGATGCTAAATCACGTACTATTGTACAGATAGTTTAAATCAATAAACTTGCTGATTATAACCATCTAAACTTTCACAACGTCGAGCACTGATTAAACTACGCTGAGTATCTAGTGAAACAGTGCGTACTATGTGAATTGAGCATTCAATAATAATGACACGGATATATTAAGGTCGTGGATCAATGGACTGATTAAGCTAAATGATCAAATAAAACATTTCTCATGTTAATTCAAATATATATATAACTGCACACGAATTATTGGATGATGAAATTGTAATGTTTGAATAATTGATGTTTCACTAGAATAAATTCTCGAAATAGCTGTTTAAAACGATACGGAATACGAATCAAAGTTACTTATTATATACAATGCCACATTGGAAGTAAATAGTATATTGTATATTTAAATACTCTCATAAGCATGATTTTATTACTATCACGAATTTTCCCACTATCAGCTGAAAGAACGACTACACATAGTTTATCATAAACATGTATTGTTCGTAGTCCAACTGTAGCAAGTAAACCTAGGTCAGCAAGTCCCAAAGGAACGTTCTTTTGTAAAGCAAATTCACTCATTTGAATATCATCGTCAATATCTCTTGATTCAATGAACATTTAGAAATAATACGAATACTTTTCTCCTCTAAACATTGCAGGGATGGGCGAGTCAAGCCTTTTCTCGAGTCGAGTCAAATTATTTTTAGCAGGCTTTTTTTCATTTTATTAAATACAAAAGACTTTAACAACAATTTGTCATTCCACAATATCTATAAACAACTATTCCAGATTGAACAAAAAAGATAATATTAAAATCAGCTAATTTTTTATACAGTTCCATATTACGAAAAAAAAGCATTTTTTAAAACAATAACTTAATTTAAATCTTACTAAAAAAGGATTTATTTACACTCAAATTAATGTCTTATTGCATTTCAAAGATATTAAAATACAGATATTATTTTCTGTAAAACGCGAACGATTCGATCTCTCATTAGAATACTACTTCGAGAAAAGACACGTTCAACTGGTGCAGATGTAGCAGGCACACACATAATTTTTCTAGCAAGCTTTTTAAGACAGGTATATGAATTTTCTCTTTTGAAAATGAGATCGCTAGTTAACTTTTCTTCTTGGAGAAAGTAATCAATCTCTTCTGAAGCTGAATTCGGAGTTAAGTTATCAACTTTTGCTTTTTTGTTTGAATCAAATTGTAACGTTGGAAATAAGCATTTTTTTATATTCATAGATAAACACGTACATCCTTCCAAACAAGGAGAAAAAAATTGCATTCAATACTCTATTAAGACGATCTTTTTCTGAGCATATAAATACATAGATATAATTAGAAAAAACCTCGTGGAAATTCTTTCTAATGGAATATATTCGATTAGAACGAAAGTTGTGAACACATGCGTGCTTAATTTTATAAAATAAAATTCGTTTTTAATGAAAAATTAACTCTTTCGAATAAATGACTCGACTGACTCGAGTCAAACAGTCGAGTCATCGCTACTAAATTCTTGAGTCCGAATCGAGTCCAAGTCATTCAAATAATGCGACTCGCCCATCCCTGAAATATTGGCCTTCCATAAGTGATGTACTAGTCTGAACTAAATGAGTTTGAATTCACAGTTCCTTCTCCACCATCTTCACGATGTTTTAAATTGCACACTCTATGACAGTGTTATCGTGCTGGGATTATCAATTCAGCGGTAACACGATTGACAGGCAAGAAAATAAATTTGACTGGTATATAGACGTATTTTTCTATCAATTGATATAGATAAAAATAGATGGGGTTATAATTTTATGACGGTACGATACTTGTATTCTCGATGTATTCATCATGCTTTATGTTCTAACAAATTCATATCGGTATAACCGGTGAACAACTTACACGGATTAAACAAGAACGGTCAATGTCAGCTGAAAACAGCATGATTATGACTGAATTATTAATTCAATTCATAAAATGTATTATTAAAAGTAAACAAATCTATGCATGTATTAAGACATCATATTTATGCTAAAGATAATCTTG